CCAGATATAGCAAATAGTAGTGAGTTTACTTTAGATTATTCATTACAGTTGGCTATTATTTGTTTATATATATGCCAACCATGTTCAATTTATCCACGTATTTGGGTACTTTATATGACTCTTAACCCTCAGAGTATAAATTGTCTAGTGCACTGACTAAATTGTCTGTTGCATGACTGTCTCATTTTTAGGCTTCCCTCTCCCACTTTAACACTGCCAGCTAAAGCAGTGAACAGTGGTTGTTTCAGCACTCTTAGTAATACTAATTATTTTTGCGAAGATCTTTAGAAAATTTACATGATCACAAAGTGATCTGCTTCTGAGCTTTCCATTTTCTTATGTTACAGTTCCTTTGCTTTTTGTTGACCTGCTAGGATCAACTTTTAGTTGATAGAATAATTTTAATTGTGGTTATAAAAATGATTAATACTTTCAATACTATTTGACCAGTGTACATAGATATAGGTTTGTTTTTAAGAATTATTTTATAATTTTTAATGTTAGGTGATTATCTGTAACTGGATTGTTGAATACTCATTAATTTCTATATAAATTTGTATGGTGTGGAGTTTTCATAATTTACTTACACATTTACATGTAGATAACTTACCACCTTCAGTAAAATGTTTAAGTTAATTATAAATTGAAGTGAATTTTGTATTAAATGTGTGTTTCCCCTCTTTTCCATATGATGAATTGTATTCTTTGATATTTAGAAAAAAATTTTTTTTTTGATGCTAGGAATTGTACCCAGAGCTTTGTATAAATGCTAAGCTTTCCTGTACCAGAGTCTGTCGATGATTTGTTAATATTAGAAACTAAGTTAAGATCTGTGTAAATCCTACCTATACATAATGTACTGTTCTTTCCATTTAAATGTGTGGGTTTATGTGTACTGAACTTTCCAAATGGAATTCAGAAGACAAATATGGGAGCTGGTTCTACCCTGTAGGCCCAAGGATTGGCACTCAGGTCCTAGGTGTGACACCAAGGGCCACCATCTGCTGAGTCATCACCAGCCCCTAATGTGCTCTTTTATATGTAGATGAATCCCAGTTACTGGTGGTAGTTTGATTTTTTTTTTTAAATGTATATATAAAGGCAGTTGGCTAATTTTATTTTCATGACTTTCTCTGATTTTCATTTCATTCATAAACTGAATGTGAAAATGTTCCTCACTCCCTAGTCACTAACTTTTCATTAAAATTTTGCATTTTCCATATAAATTTTTCATGTTATTACTTGTCAAATCTTATTGGCATGAAGTTATTTATAATGATTCATTATTTTATCACCTGGGATATCTAGTGATGTATCTTCCTTCATTCCTTATAATAACTTACATTTTATCTTTGTTTTCAGATAGTACAAAATTATTGGCACTCGTCTTAATATGCTCCCCCTCTGTACTTGGCATTCTAATTACACATGTATACATGCCTGTGTGTTAACACGATGGGCACTGAAGTGCTGATCTCTGGGTTGTCAGCAGCATTTAATGTTCATTCTCCTTTGCCTTATCTTGCCTTCACTGTTGTGTTTCTCCAGTAAATTTCCTATTTCCAGTACTGTGTGTTTGTTTGCTTCTCATGCTTATGTCTTCCAGTGTTCCCTTTAAGTACTTGAATGTAATTTGGACAGCCTACTTTTAATGTTCTCATTCGATAGTTTCACTGTCCTAGTTGCTGGCTCTGTTTGTTTCTATTGCTTTTCTTCTGAGATATTGATACAGATTGCATGTTTTGTTAAATTCTTTTAAGTGCTGAGATTTGTTCTGTTAGAAAGTTAATTTTTTTCAGGTGAACTTGATTCTGTTGACCTTTTTTTTTTTTAAAGCTTTGTTACAGTAAGTCTAAAGTAGCACCTATAAACTTGCTATAAAGGACTAGAGAGCAAATATGTTAGGTTTTGTAGGTCAGGACTCTGCCACTATAGTTCAAGGGAAGCCAGAGACATGATATAAACAAATAAGTATAGCTGTGCTCCAGTCAGACTTACATACAGAATAGTTGTACTGTTCAGTGAACGGTCTTCAGTCTGCATGCTTGGAACTTTGTGACCCTGACGTTTAATAATGAGGATTGGCAGTAGTTTTACTTTCTTTTAACTATTGCTATTTTCCTGGCACTGTGTAGTTTCACCAAATAGAAGTAAAGTTTTCTATTCAGCCCAAGAGTCAAGATCTTAAACTAAGCAAATACTTGTTCTTTGTCAGGTTACTCAGGATTTTAGCATAGCAGTTTTGTTAAACATTGTTGTAAATACTGCACTGGCATTGTAACAAATTTGCATATGTAATGTCTATTTTTATAAAAAGCTCTGCTAAATTTTTCATTATCTTTTCTTAGACATTATGTATTAGCTATCTTGGAGGAGAGTTTTGCAGTAAGTTATTCATTTTTTTTCTTTTAAAAAAGAAGATAATGAGAATTACCGTCAGTTTTATTTAACAGTAAAAGGCTGCATATAGCAAGACTATAGTTACAGCTAGCAAACAATGATCATCCAAATTGCAAATATGGCTTGGTTCATTCAAAGCTTTTAAGTAATAACCTCTAATAACAGAAGTAAAGTTTTTCTGGTTTTATATTTCTGTTAGATTGAAAAAAAATCTAGTTCTAAATCACTCCTTTGTATGTTCATTGGAGGAGAGCTATGTACTAAGATGTGGTGACATTGCATTTTGATTTTAATTGTTTGCTGCTTTGAATACTTTTGAGATGTAGAATAATTCTTAGAACACTGTGCTATGCATATATTAATCTAGAAAGACCATTCGAGCTACTTGGTTTTTAAATTGAATTTTTAATAGGTTGTGTATTTATCTGACTCCTCAGACTGAGGTGTTAAGGAGTTAACCTCTGGTAACAATTACATCATCTGTAAATGCCAGACCTAAAGAACAAAAGTGCTTGTGAAGGGTAGTTATCAGATCTCTTCTTCCTTGAATTAGCATGCTGCAGATTTCAACCTCTTCTTGTGTGGTCATTTAAATAATGGTGTATTTATATATTGACTCTAAACTTCTATAGTGTAAGATAATCTAGGTTAGAGTTCTAATCTGATCTCTGAAACTTTTGAATACTAACATAGTACCACAAGAGGAAAATTTAATACCTGATCTTATGTAACAGGTTGCAGTATAAATGCAGGCACAATAAAAGGCTATGTGTATAATATGTGCAAAAACATGTGAGTTGGTTTTTTACATTTGACTCCCATTCCAGACATGAATACCCAATCTGTATACATTATACTTTCCCATGTTTCCGTCCACCAGGAATCTGATGACTGTGTTACATAATTTATAGTCTCAACACAGAAAAGACTTAACTTGCTCAGTCCTCATCTTTACCAGGTTTTCTGCCTTCCCCCCCTTTACATTAAAAAGTAACTAAAACCAAAACAAAATAAAGAACTGGTGCTAAGACTAAAAGCTTTTCTTTGTTTTTATATCATAAGCCCCATAATAGTGGATAGTTCTTAAGGGCTCCAGCACCTTGTGGTACCATTTTCTAACCATAACTTTCTTGGAAACTGTGGCATCTTTATCCTTCTTAATTAACATCCAGTTGACTCTTCTTACTTTTTGCAAGGTAATCTTTTTTGAGTACTCTAGAAGGAGATTTTGTAGTACAGTTTTTGTTTGAGCATTTTCCTGTTTTCTGAGGCAGATATAGAGTTCTGCCTATTCTAGCCAGTCTCTAAATTCACATCAATGAAGGAACAGATAAATCACAAATCCACTTCTTAGTCCATTAACTTCAAATGCTTTGTCAGTGTGAAAGCATTGAAACTGTATGTATAGTCAAAGAAAATGTCTGAACTAACCTTCAGTGAATTTTGCATTCTCCATCTTACTATTGCAAGAAAAATCCCCAGCTAGCAAAAGATTAGTAGTGCCTACACTCAGGGCTTGATCCTCTTGATACAAGTATGACCTCTTGGATGCTATCTCCTCTGTTTACATGGAAGGGTATTCTAATGCCTCTGAAAATTCTGTGGTAGTAGAACAAAATAGTTGCTCGTATACCAGAAGTAACACAATGAGTAGTTTTCCGACGAACTTTACTTTAAAACCAGAGGTAGAGCTTAAAAAGGAAATTCATATTTGTAAAACACAAATGTCTTCTGTCATTTCAAAGAAGCTAAAGTTCATAACTCACCTTGGCTGATCTGACATTCCCATCATACAGATTAAAAGTTTCTTTTTGTTTTTGTTTTTTCTACTTTGTACTTTGATTATGAAGCCTTAAGTAAAGGCTATTCATGCAGATCCCAGTCTTCAGTAAAATATGTTATCTATTTTTCATAGCTGTCATCTAGATTTATCTATTAGCCATAACGTTTGTATGGCAATCTTAGTCTGTACACCTCTTAGCTGTCTGTCCTTGTGAACAAGACTTCAGTGTGTCTCCAAGTTGTTGAGCTCCACTAGACCTCTGAAGACAAGTCTGAATCCTGAGATTATTTTGAATTAACTCATTCTTGTTTAATCTCTTATCCTTTCATGCTTCCTGCCGTCAAAAAAAAACCAAAAAAACAAAAAAAAAACGTTCCCCCTTAAGGCTTACAACATTAAAGATACTTTGTGACATAAATTTCATTGAAGTTATTCCAAGGCTGTTAATAGCACACATGTTGAATGATGAACTATCTTACTAGAAAAAATAATAAAACCAGTTTCCCTTTTGTAAAAAAGCAAAACAAAACAAAAGAGCCCTGTGCCCTTGTTGTCCTGGTTGCCCATAGAGATGTGTACCGTCTGTTCGTCCTTTGTGTTTTATGGAAAACAGTCAGTAGAAGAGAATGTTCTGAAGAAGCAGATGCTCACCTTTTTCTGATGCTATTACACATGCTAAACATTGTCCTTCCACTGTAGATTCCTTTGGTGTCTTAGGGTGAAGCAAAGGAAGAAGGATGAAAGGATGAAAAGAAATTATTCTCTTCAACTGCCCTCCGGGGAATCCTATGTTCCTAAAGCTCTTGTTTCTTTCTAGGAGTCCAATGTGCTGATTGCTGCTAACAGCCAGGGTACAATTAAGGTAAGCCATTTCATACAGCTTCTATTAAACTCAGGTTTTTTTTTTTAAACTATAACAGGCTCTTGGAAATATACCCTTGACTGAACCTTCACAAACATGGGTTTCTGCCCTCAAAAATGACTTCGGAAATAGTAGCTCACAGTTATGAGATAAAAATGCTTGTTGGGGTTGTAGGCAAGATGGATTAATAGATGGTCAGATAGAAACAGAGAAAGGCTATTGAGCATTTATATTACATCTGGGCCATTACAACCACATCACAAGGGACTTAGTAGACAGTCTAGCAGGGAATGACGCTCATGTGTTTGTTACCTTCACCTGTAGTTTTTCCTCTTTCTTGTATTTTCTTTCTTCTCATATGTAATAAATAAGGTTTCTTTACCTCCTTGCTAAGGTGGGAGTTAGGATAGAGAGGAAATTTTAGTGTTCCATGATCTGAAACTCTGACCCCTAGAGCATACTCTGAGTTACAAGTCTCATACTTTACCACATGCTTTCTTCTTATTTAATATTCCAAGGAAATACAGTTTTACTTGATTATAGCATTTAGGGTTTATCCCTTGGTCATAATGCATTGGTAACATAAATAAATTGAGCTAAGTACTGAAATTTTTAAAAGTAAAACTTTGGATAAGAGATTTTTAAGTACATAAATTTGGCTAACACATATTCTGAGAGAATATGATCCTTCTCTATATTATAGAAAGTTCAAAAAGCGTTTTTGTTTATGATGTATCTGTCTTGCCTGCTAGTGGACATTTATTTTTACCATAACTTTATTTAATTTGTAAGTGTCCAAACCACATAGGGAGCAGTAGAAACTAAGCACAGGCTATGGAGATACAAAGCATACAAACTCACAGCCAAACTGCACTGTTAGCTAGTCACACTCATTCATAGGACAGTTGCCTTTCTCAGGCATATAGTATGTTTGGTAGAAATCACAATTTACATGAAAACTGGGCCTTTGCATGGAATTAACATCAGTTCTTTTCTGGAGGCCTCAAGTAAGATGTTAATTTTTGGAATTGAATGGAAGTAGCTTAAGTTCTCTCAATTTCACATTCTCTTGGCAAGGCATAGATTGAAAGTGGATACCTAAGTCAACAACCTAGATGTCTGAGACAGCTGAAATTGTTGACACCCTATAGTAACTCTTAAGGCTAGGGTGGAGTCACATAGATTCTCAGAAGGAAACCTGAGATTGTTTTTTTAGCATTGGCCTGTCATGTTAAGCGACCTTTATAATGTATATACAAAAAGCATTGTGACACACAGACAAAGGCAAAGGATGTCACCGTTCAGATCTTTCTGACCTAAAATTATAGTGTCCATGAAACAATCCTTGACAGTCTCATAATCACCTTTGTGTTCTCTGACCATTCTTAGTCATTTCCATCTTTGTTTTTCACTTCTAATTTTAACATCATCATAGCTTATTTTTATGGCATGATAATAACACCAAAATCTAACCAAATATTGTGACACCACATGGTTAGCATTGAAGTTGAAAGAAACACAAGATAACGTGGATGTTTTCTAAAACCTGGGTCACTGGGGACACTAGTGTTAGTGCTGTTGACAGAGTACTTATTAAGAGAAGAAAGAGATACTAAAATCCTTAACTATTTTTCCTTAAGAATGAATTAAGATGCCAACTGATACTCCAAAAATACTGTGTATGTACTTCACCTCAGCACATTTGTCTCTATTGGTTTCATGTAGTTTACCTTAAAGGCTCTTTGATTGAAAGAAGGGTGAACATCTGGTTTCTTTCAGTTCTTTGACATTATACCAGTTAAGTAGGTATTTTTGTTTGGTTTTCCAGTAGTACATGTAGTAAAACACCATTAAATTCTTTTTTTAAAGCTACTCTAAAACTCTTCCTTTTGTTTCCCCATTAGGTGCTAGAATTGGTATAAAGAGTTTCCTGATGTCATTGTGTTTGATCCTCCCAAAAGCCATCTGCAGCTGATGATGAGAAGAAAAAGAAATGGCATGTGATGTCTCTCTCAGCGTCATTTGGATTTGTTCTGAGTACCTTTTCCCTCCTTTATGCCTTTGGGACATTGGGAATATCCAGAGAATTCTCCGCCATCAGTATAACTATGAACTTTGCTGTTGGCAGTGTGGCTATCTAATTTTTGTGATAGGGAAACAAATTCTTTTAAATAAAAATAAATAACAAAAAAAATAAATAAAAGTTTATTGAGCCACAGCTGAGCTGGGAACAACTTTGTCAGGTAGGGTGAGAGTCTTTTGAAAAAGTAGCACTTGTGGGTTATACAGAATGTTCTGGCTAGGCCTGGAGAGAGGCTCAGTGAATAAGAGCACTGGCTGCTCCTACAGAGGATCTGGGTTCAGTCCCCAGCACCTACGTAGCAGCTCACTGCCACTTATGATTCCAGTAGGAGATCTGACGTCCTCTTCTGGCCTCCTTGAGCACCAGTCATGCATGTGGTGCACATACAAACATCCAGACAAAACGCTCACACATAAAAATGAAAATAAACCTTATTTTAAAAGAAAGATAACTGTACTGGTGAGTAATTTTAATGTTGTGTTTCCCAACTTTTTTGGAATTACACATATCAACATGAACAAAAGATAAAATGTGTGGATTCCTTCCAGTGAAGTTAATGTTTACAATTTAAAAAAATAAAGAATTCCTTTCTACACACCCTGATGAGGTCATCACCATCAGATCTCTTGGTTTCCTCCAGGTCTGGTTATAGACCTAAGAGTTTGACTTACTGAGATCAAGTAAACAGGCGAGGAGGACTGTCCTTACAACTGCTGGTTCTCTTTTACACCAATAAGCCCTCAATTAAGCTAAGCTAGCTCTTGTTTTAACCACCAGACTTATCCTGGCCAAGACTGATCACTGACTTGGGGCAAGGTCAGCTGCCTTTTTCTATAAAAGAATATATAGGAAATACTTACAGCTTTGCTGGCCATATGGTCTCTGTTTAACTGTTAGAACTGTTAGCTCTGCCCGTGTAGCAGGGAAGTAGCCACAGATAGCTTATGGGCAAATGGGCATGGCTAGAAAATAGATGGAATTTCAAACTATCTGCAGCTCATTATCTGCAGTGCTCTGATTTAAACTTGTATGCTCCGGTACCTACCCCCAGTTTCCAAACCGTGTGACCTCTTAAATTGTCTAGTTAGTTTATAAATCATTTTTACATTGCAGGGCATTGGGTTACACAAAAGTAACATGGACTTATAGTCTGAATAGTTTTCAGCAAATGGTTCAAGCAAATTTTTCCACACATTTCATAAAACATTTTCAGAAAGGTTTGGTGGGTACAGATATGCATGATCCACTGTCCAGTGGATCTCTAAGCTAAAGGTTACTGATACATAAGGAAGCTCACACTTTTTTTTTTTTTGACTTAAATTATTGAAGCCTAGTGAGTGTCTCTTGAAATTTAGAATCCTTAAACTATCAGTTCACATAACACATACAACTGTATATTAATAGCAATCCCCAACAGAACTAAAGCAGTAGTACATGTCCAACACATGCTTCTGCAACAAAGCATGCATATTCACATTAACATGAGATTGGTTAGGAAAAAGGAAAAATTTAGGAAAGAGGAAAAATAATCGTACAGTAGTTTGTATAAGGTTCTATCATCCAACTTGAGAGAAATGTATTAGGTTTTCATAACTTCAAAAGAATTTCATCTTACATAATTTCTTACATTTAGAATCTATGAAACTTAATGGCCTCAAGTCTGAGAGAAAGGGTTAGGGAAATGGCTCAGCAGTCAAGAGTCCTGCTGCTCTTGTAGAGAACCCAAATTTGATTCCTAGAACCCACATGTGAGCTCACAACTGCTTAGAACCCTAGTTCCAAAGAATCTGACACTCTCTCTTAACATCCAAGGGCCCAAGGCATAGATGTGGTACATAGATATATGTGTAGGAGAAACACCCATACATACAAATAAATCCTTTAAAAATCAAAAGTTAAGATCTTTCACCAATGAATGTTAAAACTGGTAAATGTCCATTTGTAAAAATGTAGGAAGAGATCCTGGTATTAGCAATAAATGTCCTGAAAATCCTCAAAATAGGAAGCATTTAATGCTATCTTGAATGTCTTTAAATAGAGGTAATAATTTTTGTTCATTTGTATTGTTTTTATATGCTTTATACTTTTATTCTCAAGCTCTCTATATAATAGAGCCAGTCATGTTAGTTTACATGTTTAGAAGATACAGTATTGCGTTTGGTTATCAAAGGGATGTGATCTTTTAAAATAAATTATTTTAAGATAGTACTTCCTTTTCCTTTTTCTCCCCCCCCCCCTTTTTTAAAGAAAGTTTACCATGTAGGGGCAAACCAAACTCAGTCACAAGTAACCTTGAGCTTCTGATCATCTTGTCCCCCCCACCAAGGGATATAGTCATATGTCATCCTTCCCAGTTTTAAGTGGTGCTAAAGTGCTAGGGAATAAAACTTAGGGCTCTGTGTATGCTAGGCAAGCCATTATCAGTTGAACGACATCCTTAACACCTTTATTTAATTTTTCCCCCGTTTTCTTGAAAGTCATAGAGCTTTCTAAAGTTGAGTTAGTTTCTGCATCACATTGAGATCAAATTAATAATGCTATTTCAGGGGTTTTGTAGGGTTTCTCACACAGCTTGTCTTTATTTCCACATTTTTCAACGCGAATAAAACATTAAAGTTTTAATTACTTTGTAGTTATTGTAAATTGACCTAATATTAAAAACAAATTAAGAAAACGAAGCTAGATATGGTGGCATGCTTCTGTCATCTTAGTGCTTGGAAGGTGGAGGCAGGAACGTCATGACTTCAGGATCATTCTGAACATCACAGTACAGTCTAGGCCTGCTGTACTACCTGAAATGAAGCATGGATCCAAGTTACAACGTTTAGAAAGATTTCTCTTTCTGTACTATTAGTAGGCAAAGAAGAAAACACAGGATGAGTTTGAACAGAGGAGCCCAATACAGTGGCACTTTTAGCACGTGATTAAGAATTTGGATTTTGTTATAAAGCAGTTAAAGAGAATGGTGAGATCTGATTCATGACACATGAATCAGTGGAGGAAGCAGCTCAGGAAAATAGTTGGAAGTTAATAGGAGCTTGAGTCAAAGATAAAATTAGCCACCCCAAATCCTGCATCATCTATTGACGTTCACTACAATCTTTACTAAGAGAACTTGCCCTAGCAAGTTTATTTCTGCAGCTATTGCATTAGCCTCAGCCAGCAGTAAGTTACTTGAAAACATCATGGCCGCAGTGCTCATGATCTTTAGCTAAGCAAATCTAGAAAGTTTCTAAACGTAAGGGTATGACCTAAAAATAAGGGTCATTGCCCTTAATGCAATTATGCACATGCAGCTGGTATTGGCTGCTTAACCTGAGCCCATTGTGATAGTAGTGCCTTGCTCTTCCTCAGAGCAGTCAGCTTGACAGCTTATATGATGCAGCTTCTGTGTAATGAGTTAGAGAACTGTGGACTCCTCAGTTCCAGACATATTTGTTGGGCTGTTGTTCTCCATGGGAACTGTATCCTACATTCCAAGACAATTATAATTATCATCGTGTAGCTTATTGTCCACTGAGAGACAGATAGGTACCCAGGCAGAAATATGGTAGACATGAGTTTTGTGTGGTCACTGGGAAAACATACAGCCTTACATTGTGGGAGATGAAGGGTTGGGGTTGAGGTAGTTGTCAGGAAGTTTTATCTTACAAGAATTAAAAATCTCAGCTGAATTTTAAGTTAAAAAAAGTCAAATGAATGTAAGGACAAAAGATTTTAAGAAAATGTGTGACTCTCTTGACCAAAACTGGAATGCATGTGCAACAGGGTAAACATTGGAATACAGTCAAATATATGGAATAAATCAGGAAGCCATACTACTGTACGTTAAATAACTGGGTAAATAAGAAACAGAACTGCAGTTTGTGGATATACTTCACCCATAAGATACCTTTGGGGGCATACCTCCACTTTGAGTATGGTCTGTACATAGTGATTTTCTTCCCTGAAAGTATATTGTGGTTAAGGAGATAAAAGTTACTACAATGGAGAATCTTCTAGAACTACTTTAATTATCTAATCATGTCCAACATCAAAGGTGACATCATGTTAATAGTATACACTTTTGATAAGATGTATTTTTAAAAAATGGTGTTTTTACTCTGTAGTCATAGTGTAAATGAGAAAGATATCAGATAAACCCTCCTTGAGTTATCCCACTAAATAACTCACTAGCCTTTCCAACCTGTCAGAACTGTTAAAAAAAAAAAAGCCAGAGAAACTATCATAGGCACAAGGAGAATAGAGAGTGAGCAAACGGTCTGTACTATCCTGGATGATATTCTGAAACTGAAACGGACAGTGCATAAGATAGAGAAAAATCAAGTATGGCTTCCTTTGATATTAATGGGTCTACCCTGGTATACTGATAATAACATTGTCATCATAATATGAGATGTAAATAGGTTACATTAGGAATGTGATATAAGGGTTCTAATTGCCTCATTAAACTTTTATTTTAAACTAAGTTTATTTTAGTCAAAGTTTACAGTTTTAGATCGGGGAATCGGCTTATTTGATAAAATGGTTACCTTACAAATATGGAAACCAAAGTTTCAGTCTTCAGAGACCACCAATAGCTGAGTGGGTATGGCATGTAGCCTGTGGCTCAAAATTGATAGACAGACACGAGGATTCCCAGGGAAACCTGGTTAGGTATTGGTTGGCCAAGATCCTACTCAGTAAAAAGAAGTGAAGATCATTTGAGGAAGGTGCACAGAATCTTCTGACTTACACAGACCCATACACAGGCCTGCATAACTACATGTGTCCACACACATGTATACCTATACACATGCATACAACTCATATCACCTCCAAAACAACAGAATTTAAGAGTTTTTTTTTTTAAATAAGGATAAAGATGTATATACAAAGCAGAATGCAGCAGGACAATGGGAATTAAAGCTAACTGAAATTGGTTTACACATGAAATCAGAGCAACTGTCCAGCTGATGGCTTACAAGAAACAGCAAAGGTCATGGAGTTTAGAAGAAACTTAACATTGTAGTCTTTATCAATAAAGTATATTTTTGCAAAAGATGGCAAATATCTTTGTTTACCTGCAAATTCTACTTTCTGGGAGTGAAAATTGCTACAAAAAAACAAAGCAATATCTTTGCAAAATTATAGTATACAAAGTTCATAGTCATCCTTAGGGTTTACACACTCATTCATATATGAATGAAAATATTATGCCTGCAGTCATTATATCCTCAATAGGAGAATCAAGAGGTCCTTCCATTTGGGTATGACTTCAGCTTGTCACTTCTCTGAGTTATTTGTCCTTTGTCAGGTTTAAGGGCAAACTTCATATTGCCTCAAACCTGAAAGCCTGGAGTTGGAGTAAGGAAGAAGGTCAAATGAAACCAAAGTTTGGGCTCCCAAATTTGACATCATAGATTCGTAGGACTTCTCCATATGAACCAACTTTTGCTCTAACTGTCAATGCTACTCTGGCCACAGGTTTAGGAGTATTGTTTGGAACACAGGAAACTTCAATATTATGTTACTATTAAAATTTATCTTTATGGGTGGTTGCCTGCATGTATATCTGTGCAACACATATATGGAGCACCCATGGAGGCCAGAAGAGGGTGTCAGATCCTTGAACTGGAGTGATAGTTGTGACCCTCCATGTGGATGCTGGGAACTGACTGACCCCAAGTCCTCTAGAAGAGTAACCAGTGCTCTCAACTGCTGAGCAGTTGTTCTAGCCTTAAGATATTTGAAAGAAGCCAAGCAAAAACAACTTTGTATATGTAAATATTAATACTTGGTTTTATACAACATCATGAACATTTTATTCCAAAAACTTAAGAATGAGGTAAAATGGAATTGAGTTTCTTAGAGCATTCTGACCACCACATACTCACAGCCAGTATGTCCCATCAGTCTAGATGGTTGATGTGTCCCCAAGTATGTGTAAGCTTGTGACCATCTGGACAGAGCGCTGCCAAACCATAGGGATCATATGTCTGTCTCTCTAATTCTCCTTAGGGTGGCTCTCAGCTAGAAGTCTGTAATGGGCATGGCAGTTGTTTACAAAGGATGATACACCCATATTGCTGCTGGCTCCTGGTGGGTTCCTTCAGCAAATTGTAGTGCCAACTGTATGATAGGCTGTTCTAGCCAGGAGTAAGCAAGCTCTTTCTGTAAAGGGCCAATTAGGCTTTGTGGGCTACAAAGTCTCCATCAGAGCCACTCAGTGTTGCTGTTGTAGCATGCAAAAATATCCCTGAACCAAATATAAGCAAACGAATGTGGTTGTGTTCCAATTCAGTCACATATTTGAGTTTATTTAACTGTAATGGTTCACAGATTTATATTACTTAGACATTAAATATAGAAAACTTATGATCTGTACAAAAAGCTACAAACAATTTGACTTGCATGCTATTGCTTGTTGACCTCTGTTCTAGGTGCATGTAGGAAAAAGTAATCTTTATTGAACTTCTGTTTATTTGGGAGGGGGCATAAATTATTTCTGTAAAATAAGACCTCTTTCCATAATGGAGCATCTCTAGCATAAAAGCCCAGAAGACAGTTGTGGGTAAGTAACATCACCCAACTAAAAGCTACTCTGATGCTTAGTTTCCACAGAAGTGCACACATGCAGTGTTAGTATGCACTGGTTATGTGTCTTCTAGAGAACCAATGGACACTTCCTGCTGAAGCTTGGTAAGGTGTAAGATATTTTGTTAGGTGGGTGTACTTTGAGGGCTATGCTCACTAACAGGCCTCAGAGTTCAAGAGCTGAGATGATGCTAAAAGATTCAGACATGAAGTCTGTAGCCTGTTGAATCTATGGTAGCAGGGTATATTTTTCAAGGCCAACTTCCTCCCCCATCCCCCGTTTTGTTCTCCTTTACTTTATTATTGAAATTCCTTTCTGAGTATAAAATGTTTCTTGAGCCCTCTTATCACTTACCAAAGCCTTGGAACCTAATATTTCTTTGGTATGATTGAATCTTATAAAACATTCATACATATTTTTATGAGTGTTTAACGTTAATTTTACACAGTAAATTTTGAATCAACACAGCTTAGTTTCCCCTAAATTAACCACCATCGGATTAGCCTGCTAATCTTGATATTATTCAAAATGGAGTCCAGACTTTGGTGAATGTGTATACTTTTTTTTTTCCAGTCAACACTTTTGCTTCCCAATTTTGAATGGCCAATCCCAGGAGAGGCCTCTGAGCTCT